AAACAGGTAGACACACACACAGTCAGAGCAGTAATAGTCTATTTATCAGACATGCCCTTACACAAAAGTCAACGACAGGTGAACACACTGATCGATTCTTTGCACAACTTTGTCCTCTGTAGAGAATGACATAATCTCTTTGCAGCCACCTGATTACCATGCACTGCACACACACACTTACTGAAACTTCACTCCCCTTCCTCTAGTGCCGCCTGCACCAGGGGCAAATGTCAATACTGCCCACTAAGCAAGCATTTAACTGTCTGTCTTCTCTCACGCATGGACACACCCACTGCAGTCATTCTGCACATACGATGCAGCACAGAAGGGGGGCGGGCGATGCCTTGCTCCAGGGCATATCAGTGATTTGCATTTAGGGAGCGAGGGTATAGCAGCATCATACCACATCCAAAAAGAGTCTGGGTTTAGGTAGAAAAGTAATGCTGGATGGAGAATAACAAACAGAAAACTATCAGAGTGATGAAAGGGAAGTGTTACCTGTCAGGTCCATGGTGACTGGTCCAGGAGCTTCTTCACACAACAGGGTCAGTCTGGTCACTCGGACGTTTGGCCCCGAGAGGTCTGGTGAGGAAGAACTGTCTGGTTATTACAGCATTCACAAATTCATTTATGTCTGCTTGTTTCTTCGGCCATTTGTTTAAAGGAATAGTTTGATATTTTGGCAAATTTGCCTTTTTTTTTACAGAGAGTTAGATGAGCCAGAAGCTTAGAATAAAAACTATCTTAGAATATTATTATCTTAGATTATTATATTAAGCTTATTATCTTAGAATAAAGACTATAGACGCTGGAGGAAATTGTTTGCCAAACAAATTACAGTATATGTTGTATTATTTTAACAAGAATCTGCAGCCACGCTAGTGGCTGTGTGAGGCACAGCAGTGCTTTAGCTAAAAACAACACATCAGTGTGTTAGCTTGCCAACATTTGCTAATTAGCACAACTGCTGATGATGGTGTTACTTATTTTGCAGAGATTTTATTCTAAATCACAGTATCAGACAAGCTAATGATGGTGCTAATAGTGAAAAGACAGGATCATTAAAGTTACAATTCATTAATTCAATGTGTGAACCAAATCACATAGCAATCCATGAATAACTGAATAACTATGAATACCGTGTACAAAAGTTCATCTCAGTGTGTCTAATAGTTGGTGTGATACCACAGTGGATCAACTGGCTAAACTAAAAGAGCCACGCCGCTATAGAATGGCTAAATATATCAAATTATACTAATGCTGAAATAACATGAAAGAAGTTGCAGTTTTATGCTGTACAAGTTAAAACGCCACAGTCTATAAGTTCTTCAGTGAGAAGAAGGTCACTGTCTAGGACTAGTACTGTGGGCTGATGTCAGGATTCAGGACAAACTCAAAGATAAATGGCCTCTGTTTGACAGTACAACCCTCTCCTCTCTGCCTTTTCTGCTGTATTGGATGTTACAAAGCTATAGATGATGTGGCGTTGAGTTACAGCAGTGGGGGAGTCAGAGCTGTTCTACCGGTATCAGCTATCATGGCCTGGCTGCCGCATTAAAGATGCAAGCAGCTCTGTTCCCATGTGTGTGTTTGGTCAAACTCTGATCACAGCGATCTATGCACCAAGTCATTACATGGATTGAATGGTGTTATTTAAACAGTAAAACTGTGTAAATCACCAGGTCTTCTATCACCTCGGGTACACAATAACCACACACACCTGATGTCACCAGTCCCGTCCCTAGCAGGGTCTGCTTGTACTTAACCAGGCTCTCATCATCTTTGTCCATTTCCTGAATCTCCTGCAAAGACTTCTGGGCTGGAGGGTTGTAATTGAGGTTCCTTTCATCCTCTTCCTCCTCAATAGGCAAATCCTTTTTGTCAGCTATCAGACCTTCCAGAGAGAAGGGAGAAGACCATTAAAAATCCACTTTGTTGCAGTGTTGCAGGTCTTCTAGACCTGTGGGTTTTTTCTTTTGACATACCATCTCACTTCCATTTGTCTACAAACAACTGTGCAGTTCAGTATGAATGAAGAACAGCATTTCAAATAATAAATAAGTGAATAAGAAATATTAAGTGGTCTAAATTCAACACAACTCTGTGGACTTAAATAAAAAAAACTGTCTCAGAACTTTGCCTCTATTGTAATTACTTCCAGACTACATGGTTATTTACAGGAAACTTTCAAGAAATTATTTGGAAGTAGTGGACCTGTGGAATAAAATGTTACCAGCTATTTTTTAAATGCATGCCATAATTTCAGTTTTTTGCCCTGGTTCCCTGATTGGGAATCGTCGTTCTACTCTCCATGTACAGTAAGTAGTCTAACACAGTGAGGGAAATGTGGGCAGTCAGACAAATAGATGGCTTGTTGGGCATGTAGGCTGAGAGGAAGCTGTTATAAGTTAAAGCAATGGTGACACTAATGTCTGTTACAGCTGTATACTGTGATGTTGGTGTTATGTTATTTCCATTACTTTGTTCCAGACAGTCAAAGTCATCTAAGTGACTTTTTTTCCCCCTCTGTGACAAAGTACTATCTGATTGGTGTCTGTCTATAACATTATAAAGAAAACAAAAAGCAAAATACGATAATAAAAGCTGGCTCCCTGACAGGCAAAGTGCAAAGAAGAAAAAAGCAAACAACATTTGCAGCAGAGCTCATCCCCAGTCAATATTTCTGTTCCATCTCAGTGGTTGAAAACTCAGCCAGCACAGATTGCTTACTGTCTGGGATCAGATGTAGAACTCTACGAAGGCCAGCTCCAGCCACTCGGGGTTTGGTTTCATCAGGGATTTTGATTCAATATTGAATTTTACAGACATTTGATAATGTGTTCTACAAGCTGAAACTTCATTTTAGCATCTCGTCACCTGCACCTCTGCAGAATGAGTAATCACAGAATAACTGGAAGCTTTGAAATGACGTGATCAGCAACAGCTTTATGCAAAATGGTTGACAAAACAACAAAACTGTCAGCATGTTGAGAGAACAGCTGAACTTGTATCACAGTAAAGTTGAGACATTTTACCAAAGAGAAAAAATAAGTTTCTACCATGAATGAATTCTTAAAATTGGAACTGAAGGGTTTTAACTCTCACACAATGCATGCTGGGAAATCTGCTAGTTCACACTGTGAAATGGTAAATATTTGTAAAATTATGATATTGTAACTATATTTTAAGAGCATTTTTACGTGAAAAAGGAGATTTTCTTACTGGGAACAAATTCATAGCTAGAGGATTTTCCTGTTATTTTAACTTTGGTGTGAATTTTTACAGTACATTTTTGTAATATTATTAATATTTCCATGTATGTTGAAATACCGGGGCGGAAAACTTTGTAAAATAAACAGGAAAATTAGGTTAAACTATATTGTAACTCAGACCACAACGGAGGCAGGCATCATGTTAACTTTGATTATTCTCTCAATAATAACATCAAGAACTAGAGCTTCAAGTCTTGGTGCAAAAATTTATAGACACACACACACACATACACTCACTCAAAGCTCAGTTCCTGTAAAAAACGTTACATGGTTGAAATGCACAACACATACCCCAGAGCCCAATTATCTGGAGAACAGGACACTCACAAACTGCCGTGGACGTCTATTTACCGTGCGTAACAGCCTTGTGTAATAGCCTCTGGTTCTGTTTTTGCTGCTCATAATGAGATGGCTCAGTGTACCTCAGCTCAGAGCTGTGTGTACAGGTAATTGGATGACACATACACACACGCACACACACGGACACATCCATGAAGTGCATAAAAATGCACACAACGTCAGAGTGTTATAGATTCTGTAAACATTAGTGGAAATCAAATGTGTTAACAGCTACATAATGACCCAATTCAAGTGTCAGCACACAGACACACACAGGTACTCGTGCACGCTTCTGTACAACACCACACCCAGTCAGGGCCAAACACGACTGTCTGCGCCCATCACCATGGCAACCCTTTCAACTCCCCTTGCAGTGACATCACCTTTGCTGTGTTTCTGTCTTATATGACTGAATGCACACAGTGGAGCACTTATTTTTTACTTGCAGCCAAAAACATCCTTTGTCTGCCAGTTTTAATATGTCCTGCACACCCACAAACACACATACACATGCACATTTCCGTGAATCTAAATGTACAGGATTGTTTTTCTTTTTCTACATAGATCATATTTATTGTACAGTCTTTTTACTCTGGTATGAAAAGAACTTAAAATCTGAACATTTATTGTGAGAAGTGTGAGATCAAATCCTCTGGGGGGGCTCACTGAAAATGCACTGGTACCCAACAAAGTATCTAAAGTATACATTTTTGGAAACACCACAAAAATCTAATAATGTCTCCCCCTCTCTCCTACACAGACAAACATTAAACTCCATACTATTTCACATATGTATGCTGCATGACTTCATAAATTATTCACCTCGCTGTATTTACATGTCAGCCTCTGTTGTCCGCCCCCACATGAGCATGTGCGCGCACACTGCAGCATAAATGCTTTAGTGAGCTGCCTCTGACACCTGAGCTCCTCCGTGATCCGCAGACTGCTGAGCTGTCACAGAAACTGCCTCAATTAACATTTATTCTAAAAGGCATGATTTGGTAGACATAGAGACGCTATGTGGTACAACTGAGTGTTTTCATTTGGATGTAGTGGTGAGCCTAGCAAAATGTCTTAACTGGGTGCACCTGGTTAAATTAGTTTGAACATCTGCAGCAGTGATTTAAAAACTAATTATTCTGCTACTGCTGAACAGATGGAGTGAAAAATAACAGTCTTTTAATGAACAGCAGCCGGGAGAAAATATCTAAACTTGATGAGACTTTCATTCATATTTGTTACTGTGGAAGACTTTCAGCTGTTTTCATTGCTGGGTTAAGTGTGAAAAAGCAGCTGAGTCAAACACGCAGGTCTAAAACCCCCATATTGTGAGAATCTGCTGTTAGAAACAGGCCAACACTGCAGCAAGCCGCCAGCAGTGTCTGTGCATGTGTGTCTGTTCTTGTACATGCGTGGACGTGCGTGTGGTGATCCAACAGTTTCAGCCACCATCTGTGATGTGATATTAACTGGTGGATTCTCTTCGATGCCCATAGAACTGTTACCCCAGGAGCTTCTCAGACCAGCGGCTGCATCATTACACACGCGTGTTCTGTGAAATAGGTGCTATGAGCGTAAAACAGCGCTCTCTGTTGTTGCAGGAGAAACTTAAAACCAGGGATGGTAGTAAATTTAATTTATTTATGTGAGACTGACCTCCTGTAAAATATGACAGCATACGTGGTTACAATGACGAAATGTTTATGTCATAGTTTGGCGACATCTAGCGACTGCAATGAATTATGACACGAGGAAAAGAGTAACTATGGCACAAAGACCATGTGTGGAGGATTTTGGTCGCAGGAGACTCGAGTTCAATTCTAGTGTGTAGCTTGTGTTTCTCAAGGTTTTGTTCCTAAACGTGACCAAGTAGTTTTTATGCCTGATTTTTTGGTATAAACCCTAACCTAGTAGTATTTGCGCCTAATTATAATCAAGTGTTTTGTGTGGCAAAACGTAATAAAATAGTCACGGTTTCATAATCGTATCATCATATTTATGATAGTTTCCAAGACGACGGAGTTCCACTAGCTCGCTGCTAGCTAGCTTGCTAAATAGCCCGCTAGCTAGCCATCATGCTTACGGCCGTTTCCATGACAACAAAAGTCTGTAAAGCTTGGCAGCGCGATATATGTTATTGTTAATTTTGGCGAGATTATTGCAATTCCCCCTGCGACTGTAGGAGCACTATTTAATAATAAGCCCCCGTGGATCGTATGAGAGATAAGGGACAAAGCCATGTGGGTCATATAAGCTGCACTGAGTTGGTTAGACACCCTGCACCTCTCCAAAACAGGAGCAACACCCTCATACTGTCATAGCTTTTTAGTTGTTTCATGTCTCTTTGTACTCATTTTGAATCTATTTATTGAGAATTTTGAGCATTTAAACATATTTTCTGGCTGTTTATTGCATCTCTGTGTAGTCATTATGTGTCATTTAGTGGTCGTTTTTGCATCATTTTGTGGATATTTTTTGGGCCCATTCAGTAATCCATCCACGCACCTAGCATTTATTATTTATGGGAATTTGTAGGCCCCTCTGTGTGCCTTCTGCATGCCAAAACCTAACAGTACAAATAATTTGGGGTTCATTTATTTTAATTGCCTTTAATGATTTATCTTATATTTACTGCAGAGTGACTGTTTTGAACTGTATCAGAATTTTCACCTACTAAGTTTGAACCCTGTCACAAATCGAACTACATTTGCCAAAAAAAAAAAAAAAAAAAAAAAATTCCCTTGATTCACAGTATGGATGTACAGTATGTACAAGACACGACACAGACTTGGTGTTTATCTGTTGATAGTTGCAGCTAAATCAACATGTTAAGTGGAAAATCACCACAGCAATCTGTTTGGCAACAGAGAGGTGGCTTCAGGGGAAGAAGGATGTGAAGAGGAGTGTTCACATGAGATCTCAAAAACACCGTGTACGCTCACATAGACGCAAGGCATAAACACAGACACTGAACATAAATCTGTTCTAGCTGGATAGTCTTTGGATAATCCACAGATGTTGCTGTCACTAGTTTGGCAGAAAGTCATTCCACTGAAAATCAGTTTCTGGAAAAAAGATGTTGTGTTTTTAAATGTCTTCTTTCAGTGTTGTAGAAGTAGAAATTGCCTTAACCTCAAATATCTCAAATCTCAGTATCTCAGCTATCCCACACCCAGGGCAGAGTGAGGACTTGCTCAGAGTCAATTGCTGACGTGTAAAAATACAAGAAACATTTAAGTCCATCCTGAGCTGTGCTTTGGTGTGTGGCAAGCCCTGTCTTCATTTCTGATTCTTGTGTACTTTCTTGCTGAAAGTTGGATGTAAAGACTGCCATACTCATGTCTGTACAGTAAATGTGAAGCTATAGCTATAGCCAGCAGCAGGTTAGCTTAGCTTCACACAAAGACTGGAAACTGGGGGAAACAGTTGCATGACTCTGTCCAGATGGGTCAAAATTAATCTACCAGCAACTTCATACTAAAAAGAAAGGCTATATCTCTTTAATTAATACAAAACACAGTGTATAAATGCAAATTGGACTTTTTACAGGGACATGTGAAGCAGTAACTTCATGCACTTTCTACTGATTGCAGCTGTGCAGAGCCTTGTGAATTGATGGTTTTACACTGGTTTAAACAAGCAAGATATAACTTGTTTATACCCTTTTCTTTGTGCTGAGCTAAGGCCCCTGGATGTGATTTTATATTTAACTGAGAACAGTTTTGATTTCCATATGTAACTGTGCAAGAAAGCCAGTAAATGTATGTCAAAGTATTCCTTTAAGAACATAAATTGTTTAAGTTTCTACAATTTTTGTGTCCATCTGCACAATGGAGGCTCTTACAATATTGTATCATAAACTTAAAAGGAAAAATGGTCCATCATTGAAACTTCAGATGATCATAGTTAAACTGCATGCCGTCCTTTTCCCTGAACAGCTTGTTTTTATTACTTCCTGTCTGGCTTCTCTTTGCTTAACCCAGATAAGTGTTCACTGTGTGAGGAAAATGTGTGTGTACCCTATGTTGCTTTGCTGTTTGTTATAGTCCTCTGGGCCTGCTGTCACTGCTCCATTCTAATAGCATAACGAGACCTCTGGGACACTGAAACACACACATACATAGCAGAAGATGTGCGGGGATCTTTCAGGCCAGCCAGTAAAAGCCTTTAAAATGTGGGAAAAGGCAGTAGAAGAAGAATGACAGCGGACCATGTGAGCAGGGTTTGCTTTCATCTCCAAGGCTGCTGTCAGCGTGTGGCCTTTTGTGCCACAAAGCAACCAGAATCAATCTGTCACCTGTAAGATTTCATGCAGAGCTGCAGAAAACCCATCAACACCAGAGACATGCATAACACTTCATCACGTTAACCAGTAAATCATCAAAATCTCATTTCCCATGTTTCCTCCTTGATGAAAGACTGAGATGACAAACAAGTGATACTGGCTACTGTGACCAGCGATATCGCCGTGGTCAGGACCGACACTGCAGCTCGTGGTTATATTCAGCAGATTGAGACCCGAGACACACCGTTCATCGCTTTGGTTATTACTGTGATTACACTTCAGCTGAGATGAAGGGTGCGAACATAAAGAGCAAGCACAGCCTTAATCACAAACAATTTTTGTGCACTTAAATGTGTCTCTCTCATGTACTAGAGTCCTTATTAATTAAAAACCCACAAACCCACAAGTGGCTGCTGCAGATCTTTGTGAGGACACTTACTGACATAATGCATTACCCAGCCCATCACCTTAACCATCACAACTAAATGCCATACCTCAACCAAAACCTGATTCTAACCTTAACTTTGAAACCAAGTCTTAACTCTAAAAACAGCCGGGGACGCCAGGAAGTGAGGACCAGCCAAAATGTCCTCACTGCTGTGCTCAAACTGGTCCTCACAATGTATAAGTACAAACAAACACTGGGTGATACTGAATGTCCTCAGCTGGAAGTAGGGAGGGAGTGTCCATCCTGTTTGGCCTTAGAAAATGAAAGAATGACCTCCAGAGTTAAAAGGACTGTGAAAATATAGAGACTGTAGGAAAGAGGAGGAAAGAAAAGAGATTACAATTAGCCTATTTCAATGCCTGCTGTTCGCTGCCTGCTGACTGACAGATGAAGCCACATGGACCTCACCCACTCTCTCCCTACCACACACACTCACATACTTGGTCAAATATGAACCACTCTCCTTTCTTTCCTGGTAACAGCTGCTGGCAGATCATTTCTTTCCTTTGTTTAACGCCCTTCCTCTCTTCTCTTTCTCATCTTCCACCTACTCTCTTCTTCGTTCTCCTCTAACCACTTCCATTCATCCTCTTCTCATCTTTCTTCTCATATCTTCCAGTTCACCACATCACTGCTTTTCGTTTTCTTCTTTTCCTCTTCAGCCTCCCACATCTTTCAAACCTCTTTACCTCTGCCAGTCCATTACCATTTCCCTCGTCATTTCGTCACTTTGCTCACTAACCTTGCCATTTATCTTCCACTCAGTCACCTCCCACGTTCCTATCAAAATCTCCTCCTCCTCCTCCTCGTTTTAGAAAGCCCGGCCAAATGTAACTGACAGGACTGGCTATGTCATCAACTAAAAAAAACCCACTTCACAGAAATCGCAACTTTTGATTAAATTCCTCTTGTGTAGTTGTTATTTGCTTTAAACAAAGAAATAAATAATGCATTTTGCTTCAGTACTATTGTTTCAAAAGTGGATTTGCGTTTATGCACCGTCCCAGACACACACTGCAGTTTCAAACATCAATCATGCAGTTTAACAGTGCACAGAAACACCTGCCTGAAGTCCTACATTTAGGACTCAAGATGAGCCTTTATTGCTTTCAACCCAGATGGAAACTGAGTCTCTAGTTTAAGAAGTGAATTGTTGAACAGCAGAAACAGCCTGAAAGCGCCGACATAAAGGGCTATGTTTAATAACTGGAGCACAGAGAATGATTACAATTACTGTTTCAAATGAATAGTTAATGGAATAAATCATCCATTGCCTCCTTGGATCTTAGACCATTTCACTTCCACTCCCAAGACCTCTCTCAAAGAGAATCTTCTTTTCTTCCTCTTCTTCTCTTGTAATTGTCAATGTGTTTTTACCACCTCTTTTCTCTCTGTGCACTTCTGTCTTCTTTCAAATTACTTCACTCACTTTTTATTTTTGCTTTTTGCATCGACCTCCCTGCTTCGTTCCCTGTTTTGTCTTTATCTCACAAAACACACCCTCTTACACACACACACACACACACACACACACATCTGTGTGAGGGGAAACCCCAGGGCTGCTCCACCATCTGTAGCTGCTCAGTAATACTGCAGTGTAGTGAACACACACACACACACACACACACACACACACCAAGCTGCTCTGCTTTGCATAGATGTAGCAAAAATAAAAGCAAAAAAAAAACAGTTTTAAGTAAAAGCAGATGTTGGTGACATCACTTGACTCCTGCATCATGGTGTCATTGCACACACACCTGCTTCCCGCTGCCAACATTTCTCACAAACACACACCTTTTTTGCATGTGCACGTGTGAATGTATATGCGAGCAGAAACATACACATACACTGGACACAGTGTAGAATCTGATCACTAGCTATTGATCTGCCACCTTTGGCTTGTCTTGGCAGCGCTTCATGTTAGACATAAAAATGTCCACACCCGCCAGGAGAGAGACACATGACACACACACACACACACACACACACACACACGCCTTTAAAACAGACACATGCCTATGAACCTTTTTTCATTTCTGCCTTATAAAGCTACAAATCAAACACAATAACGTAGGAGTTTCATGCACTGTGTAATAACTTGGATCACTTGAGTTTTACTAATTGACTGAAGCATGCACACTCCTCCAGCGTCTCACCTCTGTAGCACATAGTTAACCACAGCAGCTCCAGCACCTGCCCCCCAAACTCGCACACGTCCAAGCCCAGCATGGTGCGCCTGCGGGGTTGCAACAGCTGGCCAAAGAAGAACCAGAGAACCAGGGGACCTCCACAGGTAGATGCAAAGTAGCAGATCAGATAGAAAAGAGTCCACAAAAGTCTTGGGATTGGAAGGGAAAGGGTATCAGGCGAGCATCTTCACCCTGAAGGAAATAAATAAAAAGTAGTTGGAGGTCTCGGGGGGTGGGGGGAGGAGGAGGACTGCTGCGAGAGAGAGAGAGAGAAGGAAAGGCAGGGAGAGTATCCTTGGGTGTGGGTGTGGACGAGATGGGGATGTGTGTGAGTCTGAGAGAGAGAGAGGATGGAGAGAGGGAGGGAAGGTAAGGGAGGAAAAGCAGATACGAGGAGCGGCCAGCTTTTACACTTCTTCTTCTTCTGTTTTGTAAAGTAGAGCTCAGAGATAAAAGAAGAGGAAATGCTAAGATGCTAACTGTCAGCTGTTTGTGCTGCTTGCAGCGGGGGCTCTGGAAGCTAACGGAGGCAGCCAGATGCCGGTTTAGCCAGGAGAGCTGCGTGTGCGCGTATGTAATACTCAGACGCTGGCTAGTGATTCGCAGACAAGCCGTGAACCCACCTCCCCCCTGCATCCCTTACTCCCCTCCTCCTCATGTCATCATCCCAGAGACTGCAATGAGCTCATCCTTTACCCCCTCCCTCCCTCCCTCCCTCCCTCTTTCTTGCCTCCCCTGCTCTGTCTCCACACCTCACTCTTTCTCTCCCTCCAACTCTTTCATGCTTGTTTCCTTCTTCATTTTTCATCACTTTCATGAACTCTCACGTAGCGTCCACTCGGTTCCTCCCTCTCATTATCACTGTGTCATGCCATCTCTCTCTCATGCTCTTACCCCCCCCCCCCCCCCCCTTCCTCTTCTTCTTTTAATGGCCACACCCTGTCAGCAGTATGCTTCAGTCATGACTCTCACTCTCATTTTTTCTCTCCTCTTCTTTAATTCCTCTGCAGCAATGAGAGGCTGTAGTAATGTACAACATAAGGGAACACACAACTTGTTAATCTGTCATTCTGACGATGTCCAACTGTCGTTCAGCACGCTATGGGAGACTACTTCTCTCTTTCCTGTCTTGGCTCCAGCTAACCTTTGCATGATGTTATTTTGCACCCACATATTTACTTTAATTACAAAAACATGCAGAATTCAGAAGTGCTGATCAGACACTGTAAATTTCTGTACAATTCCTTGAACTCATTAACATTAACATTAAGTAAAATCAGTAACATGCCCTTTCATGTCGTAAAAATGTAAGCAAATTAATGAATAGTGGCACAAAATATCAGCTTGCCTCCAAGAATATAGAGACACTGGTTTTGTTTTAGAACGTTGCCTATTGTTTTCTTCTATTTTACAAAGGGACATGACAACATACAATTTAGGGCAATTAACTTCTGGGTTTTCCATCCATCCATCCATCATCTATACCACTTATCCTGTAGAGTGCTGCAGGGCCAACACTGGGCAAAAGGCAGAATACACACAGAAAGGCCCCTGGTGTGGATTTGAACCCAGAACCTTCTTGCTGTAAGGCGGCAGTGCTAACTGCTGTATCACTGTGCTGCCCACTTCTGGTGTATGTATGGGTACAGGTTCTTGAAAAACTAACATCCCAACAAGGATACATAACCTCCAGAGTCATCCAGAACAAACTAATATGGAGGACTCTCAGCTACAAAATGATGAGGAACTTTGAAACGAAAGAGATTGAAGAGATCATTTTTTAAAAACAAATACAAGCAGGTTTTACAAAGGTTTATCTTTCAAAAGTCAGTTGGTTCTCTGAATATTTGAGGCAGGATCCAGCCATTAAAAAAGTCCCTCAAAATGGCAAAAATCTTAATGCACCTTGTACAAATCCAAATTTTAAAATGGTTCAAAATAGAAAAACTGATTTAATATCTGATATAATATTGTGTTGGCTGACCAGTCACCACCGTCAGCCGTTGGTCTCGCTCCTCTTCCTACTGTCTGTCATGAAGCAAGCAGGGCTATAAACCCATTACTCTACATTCATATTGCTTCATGGAAATATAAATCAGCCTCCGCAGTTGTCCCTGGCGGGGTGAGTGGCATCTATAAAATGTGTGCTCGAACAAGGCGGCCACGGTTTGTGTCATAAAGCGTGTAAACAGCTCCCCAGGGATTAGCCATGCACAGCCACACTTCCTCAAAATGGAGAAACCTAATAAATGCTCAGCAGGGAATAGAAACTTGCTGATGACAACAGTTCAACCCACAACTGAGCCAGTCCATCACATGTAATACAAATAAATAAATATACACTGAAGCATAATTTGCTCTCTTGCTGATAGTACAATATGAAGATTGATAACCACGCTCCTGTTTTGTGTTTAAATATGAAGCCAGAGCAGCAGCTGCAGCTTCAAAATTGGAAACAAGGATGAAACAGCATCTTTAAAGCTCACTGATGTTACAGCTCACTTGTTTAAGATTGAGCTCAGACTTTGCATGAAAAAAAAAATACTGCCTTTCTTGTTTATTTGAATGAGGGAAGTGCAGAGCAGAGACTGGACCACAGGGTTGTCCAGCAAAATGACACGTCATCATGCAGGAAAAGCTTTATGCTAAGCTAAGCTAGCTGTGACTTCATATTCACTGTCCAAACATGAGAGTGGTGTCAATGTTTTCATCTAACTCTCAACAAGAAAGCAAATAACTATTATTGTCAAAATGTTTACCAAAGAATAAATTAATCAGTGTTGTTAGTTTAGAATTCAATCGTTATCTTGCCTTATTTTTAAGATGTGACAATTTCGTCAGAAATTATGAATGATAAAAATAGAAAGCATGTTCAATGCAATGAGCCTTTTTGTCTAAGTCTTGAAAGCTACATTACATCTCACCTGGTAAAATAAGGTTGTGCCAGATTTATCGTGGAAGTGAAACCTGTAGGACACCGCCTAGGAAAGCAAATAGTCCAGTTATCTCTCTTGCTGTTTATAAAATCACAGTCAAAAGCAATTTAAAAGAAGAACTATCATTTCAGCAAGGCAGACGGGTCCTGCTGATGACTGAGAAAAAACAATTATCATACACTACCACACCTCAAATTAAATTCAGGGACTGATATCACATAGATTTGCAAGTGTAATCTGCATTGATTTGGCAAGTTATTCCATTAAGATGCTGGTACATGAGCGGTGGTAATTGCTCTCTCTCTCTCTCACCCACACACATATACAGTATAAATACACTTGGGGGGTGTGTATAAGCAGTGTCTAAATGGTTTTCTGACTGTAAAGTGGGTGAGGAGCATTTATCTGTGCTTAGTGTGCAAAGAATAACCCTGACTCATTTGGATCCCATTCATCTATAACTGCCTGCATTAGTCAGACTGAGAGTGACTGAATAACCCAGATGCAAATTCTCTGAGGGAAGGAATAATAACTCAATGTGGTCACCAGGCAACTATAAAGGTGTTTGACTTGTTATGACTGAAGGCAATGAAGTAATCAGGAGTGGTAATCAAGTTTGTCAGGTGATGAAAGAATGACCAAGAGGCTTTTGAGGGGATGAGTGAATACCACGTGAAAGTATTTGGGTAGTATTAGCAGTAATAGGACACAAAACCAAAAACCACAGATGCTACAATATGTTCTAAAAACTGTAACACACACGGTAGTGTACATGTACTATGAATGCAGCATTGTTGTTTTTGTACATGCTACATGTTTAGAAATCATTTTAGCATGATAACATGCTAACTAACCAGGTGAACATGAGAAACATACTTTTTCAGCATTAGCATGTTTGGGTTGTCATTGTGAGCATGTTATTAGCATTTAGCTTAAGGCTAAATGCTGTGTGTGTGGTTTTTTTAGTGTCACAAATGCACACACATAGTGTGGCCTGGATTATATTTGTAAATTTGCAGTATATGTTTAAAGTACTTATTATTTTGGATTAATTTGTGAACCCTTTAGTTTATAGTGTCATAAAACGCTCACCACCATGGATGGATTAGTGAACGGGCCTATCGGGCAGGGGTTGGGGGTCTCTACACCAGAGAACTGTGAAGTGAATTAATTACAAAACAACTATAAAGAGATATAAAACTACTAAAAAGAGACACAAGTGACTTTTACATGTCTGTGCCCAGGAGCCCATTTCCTCATGATCTGTCCATGTGTATAACAACATCCAAAAGTTTAAGTTGGGGTCCTCAAATGTAATGTTCACTTTTATTCACTGTATCACTTTTTACATCTAATCCCATTTTCTACAGCTTAGTCCCGAACGGGGCCACGGGGCACGTTTTACATATGAAATAATATTTTTTACCATCCGAGCAGCCCCTTCGCTGCTTTGTCAGTGTGCAATTTTACATACACTAATTTCATGCAGATATTGTTTTATATAAAATTACGATGATTCTATAAATGTCTAAATGCACACATAAGAGATGACTGACCATACATTTACTTTTCTTCTCCTGTAGAGGACTTTGCAATACCAAACAACTGCTTCAGCTGTTTAAAAAATGTAAATAAAATAAAGGTGCAACATCATTCATTAGAGAATTACATTATCTACATCAGTCGTGCGGATATTTCAGATCATTGACACATCCCCTCATCTGTAACATCAGTACAACCTCCTACCTATTATTTAATATTTATTTCCTCTGTGAGCCACTAGTGCTTGTATGATTACATTTCCCCTGACTGCTATCTGCTACTCGCCCAGTATCCCACTGACGCCACTGGGAAGTGAATTTTCAGGCTAAACGTGTTTAATTCAGAGACACTGTGCAGTAACTGTTAGATCACAGGTCTGATCAGTTTTCTCAGGTGTGTTTTTCCACTTCAAGTTCCAATTCCTACACTTTTTTTGCTCACTGAATGAATGGTGAGCTATATGAAAGTCAATGTCGCTTTACAATTGATACTGTGAAGAATAAAAAGAAGATTTTGTAAAAAATCTTGTGGTCAAATACCTGTTACACAAACAATGTAACAAGAGATAAATCTGAACTTTATTAATTCACAAAAGGTTTATCTACTGGATAGAGTATCATTATTATAACTAGATCTGTACAACAAAAAGACAATCAGTGCAAAAATAATGAAGAACTAACTGAAGAAATGTCAGAATTACACAGAACTAAACAAAACAAAAAAGAATAATTATAAATCAGACTACTTGTGTTTTGTGTGGGTCCCTGACAACAAAAAAACTGACTGGTTTAAACATTAAAAATGTGGTAAGCAAAGGTTTACATCCATGTCACGCCTCCTGTGGGACACTGGTGGCTGTCTGGCACCAAAAGACACCACTTCTGGGGGTGATTAATAAAACCATGTTCATTCCAATGAGTACTAATCCATTTTACTGTCACTAGTACAAATATACATCTGCTCCATAAAGCCAACAGAAAGACAAAAGGAAGCATCTCTGTGAATCTGTCCACCTCACCCTGCATCTTGTAGGCAGACAATCAAATAATGAGGAAGCCTTAAAGTCTCCTCTCCTTCCTTCAAAACGTATGAAAAGGTTCTGAATAAGAGAGGGTGTGAAACCCAAACTGTGCTTGACCATGTATGAGCCCAATCTGTACACTTTAAAATGTATTTTACATTAGCAATAAATAACATCATTCTTTCAGTGCAAAGCTACACAAAAATTGGAAAACACTACCAAAGGAAACCTTAAATAGTCAGTGAAGCAGTTTAAATTAGACCGATTCTTCAACACTCGAAATTAGGTTTTCAAAGTAAACCAGCTTAACTGTCTTGTTTAGTTTAGTGGCAAGATATATAAAACATCCGTTTGATTTAAAAATGTGATCTATAAGTTATTAATAATGTATCAGAGCATTATCACCACATAACAGTCTGGATGTTTTTGTGAACAGAACAAGAGGATTCAGGTCACACCAATTCTTCTCACCTGGATTTCTTCTGCTCTAGCTTGTAAAGTGGCTGTGAACGTGTATGAACAGGAAAAAACTGCACATAGTCAAAATGATAACAAACAAGAAACAAACAAGAGTGTCCTTTCAAAATAAATAATTTCACACATGATTAACAGAACTAATTTGTGCATATTTCTTCCAATTTTCACACCAAGAGTATTTAAGACATTGAAATGCGACTCTGTTAACAACCCAGGCCTATAGATGGCGTCACCTTGCGTTCTCATGGTGATGATTTTGGCATCAAAGAATAAAAGTGACCTCCTGGCTCTTGATGGTGTCCTTTTGGTGGTCATAGTTCATGGGTTTGTGCGCGAGTGTATGTATACTATGAGCGAGTCAGCTGAAGTTCCTCCAGTCCATGTTTGCCCACGTGATATCTGGCCAAGTCTTTCCTGGTCACCAGTCCAACCACCTGCAGAGGGTCACAAATCACAGCACTCAGCAACATGACCTTCAACATAAAGATGAGGTGCTCCTGTAAAGTCCACAAAGACACAGTAAATAAAACAAACACATAACAGGACGGACACAGAAAACACATGCTCTCACCCTGTTCTCATCGTCCACTACCACCAAGTGTCTGAGTCCCAGTGCTCTGAACAGCTTAAACACTCGAGGAAGAGACGTTTCCTGCAAACAGCCTTTTTAAGGTCACGTTGTTCACTTATACAACACTTTATCTAAAACAGGCCTGAAAAGCTTTTCAAAGAGGGAAAAACTAAAACAAAAGACAAGAAAATGAACGTAAAAACCAAGCTAGATATAATGACTCCCACAGTAAAGCCCCTTTTCCATCGCTGGTAATCCCCCCCAAAGCGTTACACTGCCGTGATGGCATCAGTGGAGGACATCGAAGGTATGCTGTTCTTGATTCTCAGTAAGTGGCTGTTTGTCACAGCAAAGACATTTTGTTTCTGAAGCGGCTGAAGGAAGCAAGACAAAAGACAGCTGAAACAAACAGGAGAGTGGTACTTTGGAGTTCAGACAACGAGCCGACTGGTTGATCAGAGGTGACGCAAGCAGATTAAGTTACATGATTTTTCTGACCAGTCGCCAGCCTGCAATGTTTACACGTCACCGTTTGGTCCCGCCTCTGCTCGCTTGGAACCCTGAGTGAGGTGTTACCAAAAATAGTACCAGGTACCATCCCCAACATTTGACTGATGGAAATACAAAGGAGGATAGTCAAGTGGAGTCAATACCAGGCGGTGGAAAAGGGGCCTAAGAGGAGTTTAAAACAAACAAACAACAAAAAACAGAGCCGTCTAGACGTCTGAGCCTTGAGCCTTTGCACCAAGAAAAAAAAAAAACTGAGGAAGCCTTGTGAATATTTAAACATTTTGTAACCAGTTTCAAGTTCTAATCTATTAAACCTGGGGAGAAGCTGCGCTACTGATTTGAGTTACTACCTGTGGCACAGTGTAAGGTGTTGGATTCATGAACTCGGTGAGGTCCATCATACACTCCCTCTCGTCCTGGGAGACATGGATGCTCTGGATTGGGGGAAAACGGGGGTAGGCGTCCCTGAAGTCCTTCAGCTGGAGCTTCCTCTGGGTCAGCCGGAACCGAGCCAACTCCATAAACACCTGCAGGAACAAACAGTGAGTGTTACCATTCAGGATATCACAGTGATAAGTCATCTAACAACACTGCCGACATCTTGATGCTGTTACCTTGTGCTTGAGAAGCACGATGAGCTGCGAGCGGAGGATGAGGCCGCAGAGCTTCGCTGGCTGAACAGGAGAGAAGAACAATTCCTGTTTGCACTGAAGATCAACCTTTAACTACAACTCATTTCTGGTAAAGATTTATCAGACTAGGATGTTCAAGTTATTGTGATTATATTCTGCAAATTACTGTTCTGTTGTCTATCTGCTTTGCTGTACTTTAAAACTGTCATTTCCTACAGAAGGGAAATTTCTGCTGTTGAACAGTGGAAGTTGGCAGTATCAGAAGTCACAGCATCCTCAGACATGTGCCTGCATGTATTCTAATCTATGTTCTGCTGCTATAGATGCAGGAATCTGTTGATTTGTCACATCGTTTATCTCATTTATATATCATTTAACTGTCATTTCTTGGTTTAAAAAATGTATTTTTAGAGAAACATCAAAACAACAGTTACCATTGATGATTTAAATGTATATCTCTGACTTTCTGTAAAATTTTCTGTTATCACACTGTTATCTATTACATCTGCCCCAGAAACTCATCAAATTGACTCCACGTTGTTATGGAAAAACAAAAATCACTGTTTACTGGGTTTAACCTTTAAGAGGCAAATATTTTAACCCCTGGTGGATCCAAACTGGCAAATATGATCATTTTCATGATTCAAGCCAGTTCACTGCTCTGCCTAGCAAACAAACTATAACCCAAACAACCATACAGTACCTCATCATTACTGGTAACCTGCACGACGACGGGAAAGCCATTGTGATTGGTAGATATGCTGCTAAGGATGTCGACGATGGTCCCCACCTTCTCAATCCTGTTCAAACAGATGACTGGAGAACTCATCACCTCTCTGGGTGGGAACAACAAAAGCAAGCAGACGTGACAAGAAGGGAAATGGTAAGAACAAAATGGCACAATAAGAAAACCATGCAGCCTTAGATGTTTTAAATATGAGTTAAAAGTAATCCAATCAGTGTCTCTCAGTTATCCACCAACAAATCAGACAGGGAGCTGACCTGGCAGTGAGCCAGTGGGAGGTGGCAGGAGCCTCCGAGTGCAGGAAGGGAACACTCTGCAGCTTGATGTGGATATCATACAGACCCTGAAGCAGAAAGAGAAGAAACAGCTTAGAGACAGTCCAGACTGTTTGAACTGTAGAGAGACTGCTCTGCAGTTTGCACTTATGTAGTAGGAGCGTAGTGCAACTGTTTTCAGTTTTGAATAGTCTGTTGATTATTTTTCCAATAAAAAAAGAGCAACAGAATGACATTCACAAATTCTCAGAGGCAACAGTGATGTCTTCATTTTTCTTGTTCGGTCCAAAACCATAAAATGTTCAAGTTATGGTCATAAATGACAGAGAATAGTAGAAAAGTACTTGTGTTTCTGTTTTCCACTGTTTTTCTGGAGGCATTTGACAACCAGCTACAACTCTAAGCAGCTCCCCTGTTTCCTTTGAGCGCTATATTGTGGGGCAAGAGCCAAAGTCATGTCAGATTTTATTAATATAGCCCATTATCACAAATCACAAACTGGCCATCAACAGTACACTGATGTTTTTGAGTGTGTTCATCACTTTCCTAATATGACTGCATTACAAAACATGACATTCAGTGTGTTAGTATAGGGTTACGACACAACCGCTATGTCACCGAGTGTGTCTCCATACTGTCCTCCAGCAAACAGCGTACATGTTCTGTACATGACAACAGATTGTGGGCTCCTTCCTGTCCTGAATTCAGACAACAGGACAGAGAGGAAAGTAGGAGCCGAATGCGTCCGTATCTTCACTCACTTCTATAAAGTAGTCGCCGACTATCTTGGCAGTCATGAGGACGAGCATGATGGGAAGACCGTATGTGACGTTTCCCGTAGCCTCCACCATGATAACAGTCAAACTGAGAGTCATCCTCACAATGCCACCTGTGGAGAACAGAGCAATAAAACACTTTTATATTCATTGTATGACTTAGATGAGTGAATATTCAGACTCGAGAATTGTGGCCAGATGATAATAATAAGAGGGAAGGCGGTAAAGATTAATGGGTTACAGCTATCAGGGGGCCGCATACAGCAGACATACAGACCGCACACAAGTACCTCAATATCCCACAGTCAACATGGGAACAAGAAAGACAGCAACATCAAAGGATAAGACAGGTCCTAAAAAGCCAGCTCAATGGGAGGAACAAGATCCAAGCCATCAACACATAGAATGTCTGAGATAGCAACAGAGAGGGGCTGAAGACCAACCAAAGGAGGGCCATGGCATGATAAGGCCCTGCATAGGATGTACCACCGACAGATAACTGAGGTGGATGGCATCAGGAAATCCTACCAGTGGCTGGAAAAGGATGGCCTATCAGACAGCAGTGAGGCACTGACCATAGCAGCACAAGAACAGGCACTAAGTACCAAATCAAAAGATGCAGGGGTCTACCACACCAGACAGGACCCCAGGTGACACAACCCCAGACCATGTCGGACCCTGGCTTTTGGATTTATTGCTGGTAACAGTCTGGATGGTTCTTTTTGTCTTTGGTCCAGAGCACACGGTGTCCATCCCTTCCAACAAGACCTGAAATACTGATTCGTCTGACCACAGTGCACGTTTCCACTGTGCGATGGTCCAACCCAGATGCCTCCGAGCTCAGAGCAGTCGACTTCTGGACACTGTTGACATAGAGCTTCCTTTGGGCACAGTACAGTTTTAAGCAGCATTTACGGATGTAACTACATATTGTACTGCCCGACACAGGTGTGCCAAAGTCATCCTGAGCACATGTGGTTATATCAAGTAGTGACGATTCTTCATGCAGCGCCGTCTGAGGGATCTGAGAGCTCGGTCATCCAGTTTAGGCTTGTGCCCTCACAAAAATACTGTCCCTTTTTCTTTCCTGTGATGCATTACAAAGGAACACTGGTGACAGAGTTACTCACCTAACTGAGCTGCAGCTCCAATCAAGGCATATTTACCAGGGTCAGCCCAGGTCTAACAAAACACATATGGAAAAGTCAAACAGCAGGTCATAGCATCTGGAATATTCAGTCCTCATTTCCCTCTCACCTATGAACAATACTGTAGTTTTCAAGAAATCATCATCCTTCACTGATAATGCCACCCAAAAATGAAATACGTGTGCTGTTGGGACTTTGGGCCAACCAAATTTCATTAAGAGAAAGAAAAACATCTTTGGTCATTTTTATTACTTGTGTTTCTGTTTTCCACTGTTTTTCTGGAGGCATTTGACAACCAGCTACAACTCTAAGCAGCTCCCCTGTTTCCTTTGAGCGCTATATTGTGGGGCAAGAGCCAAAGTCATGTCAGATTTTATTAATATAGCCCAATATCACAAATCACAAACTGGCCATCAACAGTACACTGATGTTTTTGAGTGTGTTCATCACTTTCCTAATATGACTGCATTACAAAACATGACATTCAGTGTGTTAGTATAGGGTTACGACACAACCGCTATGTCACCGAGTGTGTCTCCATACTGTCCTCCAGCAAACAGCGTACATGTTCTGTACATGACAACAGATTGTGGGCTCCTTCCTGTCCTGAATTCAGACAACAGGACAGAGAGGAAAGTAGGAGCCGAATGCGTCCGTATCTTCACTCACTTCTATAAAGTAGTCGCCGACTATCTTGGCAGTCATGAGGACGAGCATGATGGGAAGACCGTATGTGATGTTTCCCGTAGCCTCCACCATGATAACAGTCAAACTGAGAGTCATCCTCACAATGCCACCTGTGGAGAACAGAGCAATAAAACACTTTTATATTCATTGTATGACTTAGATGAGTGAATATTCAGACTCGAGAATTGTGGCCAGATGATAATAATAAGAGGGAAGGCGGTAAAGATTAATGGGTTACAGCTATCAGGGGGCCGCATACAGCAGACATACAGACCGCACACAAGTACCTCAATATCCCACAGTCAACATGGGAACAAGAAAGACAGCAACATCAAAGGATAAGACAGGTCCTAAAAAGCCAGCTCAATGGGAGGAACAAGATCCAAGCCATCAACACATAGAATGTCTGAGACAGCAACAGAGAGGGGCTGAAGACCAACCAAAGGAAGGGCCATGGCATGATAAGGCCCTGCATAGGATGTACCACCGACAGATAACTGAGGTGGATGGCATCAGGAAATCCTACCAGTGGCTGGAAAAGGATGGCCTATCAGACAGCAGTGAGGCACTGACCATAGCAGCACAAGAACAGGCACTAAGTACCAAATCAAAAGATGCAGGGGTCTACCACACCAGACAGGACCCCAGGTGACACAACCCCAGACCATGTCGGACCCTGGCTTTTGGATTTGTTGCTGGTAACAGTCTGGATGGTTCTTTTTGTCTTTGGTCCAGAGCACACGGTGTCCATCCCTTCCAACAAGACCTGAAATACTGATTCGTCTGACCACAGTGCACGTTTCCACTGTGCGATGGTCCAACCCAGATGCCTCCGAGCTCAGAGCAGTCGACTTCTGGACACTGTTGACATAGAGCTTCCTTTGGGCACAGTACAGTTTTAAGCAGCATTTACGGATGTAACTACATATTGTACTGCCCGACACAGGTGTGCCAAAGTCATCCTGAGCACATGTGGTTATATCAAGTAGTGACGATTCTTCATGCAGCGCCGTCTGAGGGATCTGAGAGCTCGGTCATCCAGTTTAGGCTTGTGCCCTCACAAAAATACTGTCCCTTTTTCTTTCCTGTGATGCATTACAAAGGAACACTGGTGACAGAGTTACTCACCTAACTGAGCTGCAGCTCCAATCAAGGCATATTTACCAGGGTCAGCCCAGGTCTAACAAAACACATATGGAAAAGTCAAACAGCAGGTCATAGCATCTGGAATATTCAGTCCTCATTTCCCTCTCACCTGAATTGTTTTTAAATCAACCAAGCTCTCAGGCAGTATCTCATATAATATCACTTTGTTATATAACACTGCTCAGTTTCTAACCATTGTACCATATTCAGTCTTTCTGTTTCCATACCTGTATTAAAAACTAGAGATTTTTTACGTGCTAATGCGTGTAAATGTTGAGGTTAATGCAGTGAGGTGTTAGTTTGAGCTGAACACTGCTCTAAAAAAAAAAAAGTAAGAAAAACATGAGCAGCTCATCACAACATGTGACAGATGTTACGAGGCAATTCAGTAAAGTTCTAACTTTTAAAATTGAGATGTAGTTAAAGGTTTAACAGTCTGTCATAATAACTGATAAATCATCACCATGTTAATAAGCCGGTAAAATCACCCAATGCCAAAGCCAGTTTGCAGGAATGTTTTAGAGCATAAAACAAGAAGAATGCACAGCTGCTTCAGAACAATGGATGGTTGAAATATATTGAATTATATCAATTTTTTCCTTTACTAAAACCAAAAAAGAAAATCAGTGCACAGCTACATTTGGGGGGTGGAAAACGAAACAGCTGGTACCAAAAGCAAGTTGAGTAGAGTCGAATCAGTACCAGCGATGGAAAAGGGGCTTTAGTGATATTCACTGGCATAATGTATTCCCTAGCCCAAAACCTAAACCATCACAACTAAATGCTTAACTACAACCCTTACTCAAACCCTAACCTAAACCTATGTCTAATCTTAACACTAAAACCAAGTTTTGAACCTCAAACAGCCCTTTGAAAGTGAAAGAGAAAGTGAGGACCAGCCAAAATGTCCTCACTCCCACTGGCCATACAAATACACACACACATACACACTAACCGAATCAGAGGAGGTGGAAGAGGCCAACAGGATCCCAAACAGTCTGCCCCAGGCAGCTCCTATGAGCAGAGATGGGATGAAGACTCCGGCAGACACCGCCAGGCCGTAGGTCCAACATGCCAAGAAGAAGTAGGTCAGAGTGAACAAGCCCAGCGTCAGAGGGTTGTAGGTTCCTTTAAAAGTATTACAAACTTTAATAATTACAATCACTCCCATATAGACCAATATACAAGGTGAAAGAAGAAAAAAATGGCCACTTGTTTGTAAATATAATTGATTATATAAGCAGGCTTCCTCTGTTTTAGCACAGCCTCACCTGGCTGGTTGTGGAAGAGACTGCGGACACTCCTCTCAGGAGTGTTGAAGAAGGCTTTTGCCATGGAGTTATACTCTCCATCTGCACAGAACAACTGAGATAAGGAATGAAGAGAAAATGGTAAGAGCGACACAAGGGAAAG